GAGTTTGTTTTGATTAAAAAAACTTTTGATAAGTTCAAAAATTTACAGACATACTGAAGCTTTTCACATTTTCCACCAAAAAATGCTTATTTATTGATAATGTATACAAATACTTTGTGAAAATAATTAAAAAGTTTTATTTATATGTGATTGATGTTATGGGGTATAAAAATGTATAATACTTTCAGTAAAAAGAGTGATAACAGGATCAGTTCAAATGGAGATTTGTTTCAACAGACAGCAAAGTTTTATGGAGCTGGTTAGTGCTCTACCACTACACCACTATCGCACTTATTGGTAACTGAGAGCCAACACCAAATTTTTATTTTTTGGTACCATTAACTAATTAATGGTACCAAAAATATTGATTAGAGTGGTTCAAAAAACAATCTTTTTGAAAAATATTTGCAGCTCTTAACTTAATGTGTTCTATATGATAAAATAACACTGGATTACAAATTTTTTGAACAAAAAATATTTTTAGTGGTGTCTCAAGATCCTTGAACATTCAATAGGTCCCTAATATTAATAAAAAAATTTTCAAAAGAATGTCTTGTTGGGGTCTCAAAAAAAGCGAAATTATATTAAAACTTCAAAAATAATAATTATTTTGTAAAAAAATATCGATAAAAAAAAAACTAGAACTAAAAAACTTTGTAAAAACGCATAACTTTTAGTTTTAGTTGAAATGTCATTTTCTAGGCAGTAAAATCTAAAATAACATTTTTTTAATAAATTTTTTAATACTTGATTATTTTTGAAATTTTTGTATAAGTTCGCTTCCCGAAATCCCCCAAAAATTGTTCATCCTAAAGTCCCAGGATTAACCTCCGAAATTTCTTTTAAATTTTTCATAAAAAAAGTAAAAGTACAAAACGTTTAAGCTTAATTTTTAATTATGTAATTTGTGCATCATAAAAATGCAAATATAGGCTTTGGCAGAGTACCTGTTTAGTTTTGTAGCTGTTTATTCTCTTTGTAATGTTTTCCTTTTACTCTCTCTTTGTATTTTATCAAAAATACAAAATAAATTTTTAGCGCTTGCTGATGAGAAGATCAAAAAATTTTAATAGAGGGAATACTTTAATTTTATTTTAAATTTTTTAATTTAAAATAAAAATTTTAATTCCAATGTGCGTGTAGTTTTAATTCCATTTTTATGTACACTCAATTTTATTACAAATGTGTGCGTGATTTACAAAAGTTTTTTTAACATGGGTTTATTTAATGAAGTTATCAAAATACAGGTTTATTAAATTAGAAAAATTTATTTAATGCCAATTTAAGTAATAAAGTTATCAAAATACAGAAGATTTTCTAAATAAACTTTAGTTATCGTTATTTAAAGTAGAAACTGTTTTCTAAAGAGGAAGGTTATATTCAAGCATCAAATCAATCATTGTTAATTATTGAAACATCTGAAGTTAAAATTAAGCACCGAATTATTGGACCCATTGTAACAAAAGTCAAAATGTTTAAAAGGTCCCCAAACGAAAAGATGAGTACTGAAAAAACATTAGTTATTTTTATGCTTCATTTTCTACAATTGCATTTTTTTCTATTCAATCCTAATACTTCCTGGTGACAAGTTTTTCAATCCCAAAATCCTGGGATTGAAATTTCCAGGATTTTTGTCATCCCTATTTGAGACCCAACAAAACATACTTTTTAAAAAAATATTTTTATTAATATTAGGGACCCATTAAATGCTCAAAAGTCTTTTATGTCTTTATAGTATTTACTCTGTATAGTTTTGTTTGACTCTTGTCATGACTGTATAGTTGTATAACATAACAGTGTGTGACAGCACATAACAAAATGTATAATTGTATAGCATAACAGCCTGTGATCAACATGACAAATGGTAGTATAAGAATCATAGACCTATTATAAACCACTTTATGGATTCTGCTAGTAAATAATATTTTGAAATCTTTTTATAATCCAAAAATTCTTAAAATTATCTATTACTTGTATGGGTTAAATTTGTATCAACTATTACACAAAATTTTTATATATATACATATAATAATATATATAAACATAATATATATGTATATATACACACAAAAATTCATATATGTGTATATATATACATATATGTGTATATAAATACATATATGTGCATATATATACATATATGTGTATATATATACATATATGTGTGTGAATATATATATATATATATATATATATATATATAAAATTGCATTTTTTTAAATAAATAATTGCATTTTTTTCTATTCAATCCTAATATTTCCTGGTGACAAGTTTTTCAATCCCAAAATCTCAGGGGAAACCTGTTGAACAAAAGGAACGAGTTGGTTTCAAATCGTAGGCATAAAAATAAATTCCTTCTTTCGTTTTATGATACTGGCGATTAGCTGATTTATATAAGATTTTCTTTGACTTTTTCTTTTTTTGTCTTTATAGAGACGTCAGATGTCGCTCCACTGTATTTTGTAATTTTATTAACGGTTTGTTTGTTTTTGATATAGTACATGGCTGATGATTGCCGTATAGGCATGAAACTATTAGTCCCATGAAAAGTTGTTTTTTCTATATGTAAATAAAAATAAATATATATATATATATATATATATATATACCGCTCTAGTTAGAAAGTTGTTTACTTTCTTTATTATTGAGCACTCTTAACCGAAATAGAGTTTTGTATTACTATTGTAATACAAATTTAACATCAATATATATATATATATATATATATATATATATATATATATATATATATATATATATATATATATATATATATATATATATATATATATATATATATATATATACTCATATAGTGTCGCTTTAAGAGCATTTTAATGTAAAAAAAGTCTCTTACGACTACAATTTTAATTACCTCGTCTCTTAAGCTGTTTTTGATTGTCATCGAAATGTCAAAGCAATTAATTTATGCGGAAGTACATTAAATTTAATTGTTTTTTAAAAATTTTTTAAAAAACCGCAATTATAACGACTAGAAAGTTTTTTTTAATTAGTAGTGTTTTTGTTATTGATTTAATAAAAAACATTTTTTAAACATGCGTAAATGTTACTACATCGACTATCTTATAGCCTGACTCGCAACGGAGTGCTGCTACATCGACTGACAAATAGCCTGACTTGCAACGGAGTGCTGCTACATCGACTGACAAATAGCCTGACTCGCAACGGAGTGCTGCTACATCGACTGACAAATAGCCTGACTCGCAAGGGAATGCTGCTACATCGACTGACAAATAGCCTGACTCGCAAGGGAGTGCTGCTACAACGACTGACAAATAGCCTGACTCGCAAGAGAGTGCTGCTACATCGACTGAGGGTTTGGTTTGGCCAGGCAGTCTATCAATTAAAAAAAAAAATTTAATTTTAAAAACTTTTTCTGGTCTGGTTTATTAACGCGCTCTTTAAAACTACAGTTTATGGGAAATATTTTTTGATGCTACGCAAGAGACATGCAAGACTATATATATACCTATAGTAATGGGCTTCGATATGCAGTTTGTGGTAAAAAGCAGCTCTTCGATTGTCTGCAGTATTTAAACTGACAAAACTAAGATTAGATTATAACAAAACGCATTAATTTAATTGCGGAAACTAATTAGGATTAAAAAACCACAAAAATGCAAATTAAAAAACTACAGTGCTTTTAAATGTTTTTATTTTATTTTTTGAAAAATAAAAAAGCTCCAAATTTTTTAAATTTTTTTTACTGTAAAACATGCGTGGAGTGTTGCTACAATCTTATAGTCTGCTGCTACAAGGGAGTGCTGCAACATCGACTATCTTACTCGCAACAGAGTGCTTCTTCATCAACTGAGGATTTTAAAAAAAACTTAAAAAGCTTTTAAAAAAAGTTTTTAAATTTTTTCCAGACTTCAAAAGAATTTAAAAAAAAAAACAACCTAAAACTGACATTTTAAGGCAAAAACTTAAAAACAACCATGCAAGAGTATATATGTAAATATGTTATGCGGTAGTGGTGTAGTGGTAGAGAGCTCGCTTCATAAACGAGTGGTTCTGAGTTCAATCCCTACCACATCCGTGGTAGTACCGCGCTCAACTCGTTTCTCCGCACAGCCGCCTTGTTTGTCAAGGTTCGTGTTTCGGAGTTATAGAGTTGAGAGAGGGTTATAACCACAAATAAATCCAATAAGCTTTTGGATATTCTTGTTAGTGTTTTTATGGGTATGGTCAGTTTTCAGCAGGCTTTTTAAGTTACCAATTAATGTCATGATTTTCTCTGCAATTTTATTTGGTTTAATTGTTTGTATTCTTGCTTGATTATAAAATGGAAGAGTTGATTTAACTGTTTAATTCACAGCCTCTTTTTTTAGTTTTTGTGGTAAAGTGTGCAAGAAAACATAAAAGTACCTGATGTGCAGTTGGTAGCCTAGATTCTTGTACCTTTGTTAGATTCAATAGGGATAGTTTCTAGTATACTGGGTCTTTTGATTTAGCCATTTTTACCCACCTAACTTGTCAGAATTTTAATTTTTATATACTATCTAAAAAACATTTGGAACAAGTTACTAGTGTGCCTGTAAAATGGCCACAAACATTAGCACAAATTAAAAAAAAAAAAAATTAAAAAAACTAATTTTGGATAAAAATGTTTTACTGTTTATTTTATTAAAAAAAATTTTTTTTTAAGATTTTTGATAAGAATAATATATGGGAGAAAAATATTAACCAATATAGTATTCCAATCAACATTCTAGTAGGTTAATGCTTCCTCCTAATTAAAGACAAATTTTAGAAAATTGTGTAAATCTTGAAACTTCAATTAAAATATGCTACCATTAAACATAGTCAATTTTCTTAAAATTTTAATTTGTAACTATTTTTTATGAACCTCACCCCCCAAAAAAAGCCATGCTTAACCAGAAACATAAGGGCAGCTGGGTCACCCTAATATATATATATATATATATATATATATATATATATATATATATATATATATATATATATATATATATATATATATATATATATATATATATATATATATATGTATATATATATATATATATATATATATATATATATATATATATATATATATATATATATATATATATATATATATGTATATATATATATATATAAATATATATTTATATTTATATATATATATATCTACTATAGCATATTTATATGCGCAATTGCTCACTTTTTTTGCTAGCCTAAATTAAGTGAGCATTTTTAAAAAACAATGAGGGAAAATGAAGAATAATGAATGAAAATGTTGCTGACCCATACCAAACCCTCAGTCGATGTAGATATATATATATATATATATATATATATATATATATATATATATATATATATATATATATATATATATATATATATATATGTATGTATGTATGTATTAAAGTTCGCTCAATAAATATTCCATACTTTTTACAGTAATAAAATTACCTGCAACGCCCATATTTTGCTGCTAAATGAAGTGGAGTGAGATTTTCTTCACTTTTTGCATCAATCTTAGCTCCCAAGTTCAAAAGAGCCTAAACATATTTTAAATATGTTTTTATATCTCATCATAAACTAATAATGATGAAAAAAGCACTTTAGCCATATGGCACATTTTTACTAAAAAGTTTTTAAATATTTATTTCGACAACTTTTAATTATTTAATTTATAACACATACAATACAGCTAAGTACTAATATTTTAATTTATTTATGTAATATTTCAGTCTGAATAGTTCAGACCGTCATCAGACGTAAAATTAAATACAATAAAAATCTCACAAAAAAAACGTATGTAAAAAACCGTTATAGAACTCATTACAAAGATGAGTTGACGTAACGTAAACAACTATTTTGAAATTTCTATGATTTTTTTAAAAAGAGGTTGCCAGCTATTTGACGCAATTTTAACACCGTTGTCTTTGTTCAAAAGCGGTGGGAAGTGTCTTATTTCGTAATTTGTTTGGGCATAATTAATTTCAAGTCACTCTCTTATTTTCCTTTCATGGTAGTTAGACTTGAATGCAATCGTTTTTGGGTGCATCCAATTAAATATACCGTGGCAGTTCTTGCAGTGTTCTGTGGCTCCGGAAGCATGCCAATTACCTTTCATACTGTTTATCTGATGCTCAATACTTCTTTGTATAATTTTCTTTTTTGTTTCTCCAATATAAACGCCACCGCATGAACACGTAAGCTTATACACACCCGACTTGCTATTTGGCAATAGTTTGGATTTGTTATTACACAAAATTCTTTTTAAAGTTGGTGGTGTTGTAAATATAACTTTAGCGCCATATCTCTTGAGCTCTTTTCTTAATTTTGATCCTATTCTTGGAATCCATGGGAGTTTTTTTGTTATGTTACCATTTTTTGTTTGATCTGCAACTACACCAACAGGATTATTTTTGATTTTGAGATAATTTTTTGTTATAAGCTCTAATTCAGATTTTTTATGGCCATTTTCGACAAACATATTTATTATAAATTGTATTTCATCTTGAAGGTATTTTGGAGAACAAATTTTTGAGGCTCTTGATATAAAACCTTTGAAGACTCCAGATGTTATTGCAGGATTAATGTTAGAATTTGGTTTTATTTGTATATTCGTAATTGCGGGTTTTCGATGGATTTTGAAATCATAGTGGAAATTGTTTGTATTTATTATTGTTATATCTAAAAAGTTTAGTTCTTTCCTTTCGTTTTCTATTTCCGATGTGTATTGAATTGCAGGATCTTGTTGATTTAACAATTCCAAAAATTTGTAGTGTTTTTCTAATCAATCAAATCTCGCATGGCTGTCGTCTACATAGCATTTGAATGACTTTGGTGAAAATAAATTTATTTCTGCAACTCTCAAAGTTTTTGTTTCTAAATGTTGCAAAAATGCCTCTGCAACAACGACCATAAGTGATAGTCCAATAGGGCCAGAATTCGGTATAGCTCTAATCACGTTTTTATATAAAAAGTAGCATTGGCTTAGACAGAGTTCAATTAGTTGGTGAATATCAGTAAGAGTTAATTTAGTTCTATTCGCAAGATCTTCTTTATCATTGTTGAGTATATCAATAATTACAGGTATTGCTTTGTCAATTGGAATCGAGGGGTACAATGCTATCACATCAAACGAGACTTGAATTTCATTAGGAGAAATTACCCAGGATTTTGCTTCGTTGACAAATGAAGACGAGTTCAGTAACCTTGTTTTATTTTTATTTAAAGTTGGTTGTATTATTTTAACAAGATATTCTGAAGAACCATAAGGTTCTTCAGAATATCTTATGTTTTTAAAGTGCTGTGACTTGGTAAACGTGTAGACCAAGATTTTTCAACCTCGCCAGCCATAGTTACATGGCAGTGTTTAGTATCAAACTGTTACTGCTTTAGTTCTAGGTGTTTTCAAGCCTTTATTATTAATTATTCTCAAAATACATAATAATGTATATTAATAACATTTTGTGTAACTTTTGTGTAATTGATAAACTGAAGCTAATGGTTATTAGTAGATCGACAGTTCTTACTAAACTTGCAGGTTTCCATAGCTGGATCCTGTTCAAGGTATTTAAGGTTCTTTTTGAAGATTTGGAAAAGTCAATCATTTGATATATTTAAAAGGTTTATGAATCCAGTTGAATGTGTCTAAGACTGTTCTGAAAATAATATCCAACTGATTTTGTTACTTCTTATGTTTTTAACTTGATTCTTTAGATTAATCATGTTCTTATATTTTTATATTTTTTAATTATGTTTTTTTAAATTATGTTTTATGTTTTATATTATAATTTAACAAATATTCTAATGATTTAATTATTTATTGATAGCAACTTAAATATTAATCTTTTTAAATTTTAAATTTTCTTTTTTTACTATTACCTGAACAATAACTTCATGACCCTCTTTGGCAGCAATATGCAATGGTGTCATTTCATACTTATCAAAGTCTTCTATCAGAATTTGAGCACCATATTGACATAAAATCTATGTAAAATGAATTTAATACTATCAGTTAACCATTATTTTTAGTTGAAAGTTTTTAAAAATGTTATCAATAAATTTTTTATTTCAATAAAAAAATTACTTAACTTAACAACTTAAGTATAATAACAGTATAAAAAGGGGTGAATTAATTTATTGCAAAGCCTGAATTGCGATTGGCCAAGGCCATTTAGCAATCTTTAAAGTTCATTATTTGAAGCAATTGCGATTGCTAATTTTTACATTCCTGGAAAGAAATTTTTATGAAAAAAGATTTTATTATGTCTTACAATGATGTCAGCACAATATAATCCATTGTGAGAGTCTTATGAAGGAACTTATATTTGATATACTATTTTTATTGCAGTAACTTTTATATTTTACCTAAAAAAATCTGGTAAATTTGCAATCTGGTAAATTTGAGTTAATTCACACCTTGATATAACTTGTTTTTTTATATTTTTTTGTTTTTGTAGAACAAGAAAAAGTATAAAAAATATGAAAAAAAGTGAAAATGTAAAACAAATTCTACTTTTTTATTTTACTACCTCAAACACATCTTTGCAATTTGCTTCAGCAGCAATGAACATGCATGTTTTATCATTTAAATCTTTTACAGTTATGTCTGCAAACCAGTCTAATAAAACCTTCACTGCCTCAACATTATTTTTACGTACAGCCATAAGTAAAGGTGTTTCATTGTCTTTATCTCGACAATCAATTTGAGCACCTCTAAAAAAATAAGTACATTATTATTTAGATCCAAACGACTAGTAGCAATATATATATATATATATATATATATATATATATATATATATATATATATATATATATATATATATATATATATATATATATATATATATATATATATATATATATATATATATATATATATATATATATACACATATATATATATATACATATATGTATGCATATATATATCAGGGTGTAAACCAGGATTAAATTTGATACAGTGTTTTGACGAAATTGGGAATTAGTCAAAATATTTTCTTATTTCCCCACTCCCTCCTGCGCCCATCCCTTTCCAAACCACCGAGATTAAATTATGTTTGTTTGGGGTCTTTTTATTTTCTTCTTTCCTTTTCTACTCCAAATAAAAAATACTGTAACATTTATGAAAGATGAATATAAAATCAACATAAAATAATTGACGACACAACAAACTAAACTTCGATTTTTTTAAAATTATATTTTATATATAATTTTAATCAGTATATACTAATTATTATTAAGAATTATATATTTGATTTTATTTTAATCTTAATATATTGTTGCCGCTTTGAATTTAAGAGTAATCTTTTGAACATATATTTCTTTTTCACTGGTGAGCATTCATGTATATAGATTTCATTTTTGATACACAAGCAAATCGAAAAAACAACTAAATCATTAACGCATTTCTCAAACACAAAGAAAATCCTTTATGGGCAAAACCTTCACCATCAAGTCATAAATTGTATAAAGAATTTTGGTTGCAAGCGATTGTACGTTATCGTTCCAATGAAGTACAGTAGTAATTATTTTTTTTATTCATAGTCATAAAATGTTATATGACTGGTTCATTCAAACATTTTTTCTTTTTTTTTTTAAATTCTAGTAGCAGTTTGTTGTAATAAAAAAAAAACTTTTGTTATTAAAAGCATTTAATTTACATTTTAAATACAAGCAAGCAGTAACGTAAAAGAATTTTCCTTGTTAAAAAAAGCTTTTAGAACCAGTTTGTTATAATCATAAAACATTTTTTGTGTTTAACTTATATTTCAGCGGCATATTTTTAAAAAAGTTAGTTGAGAAAAAATAGTAGATAGGTAAAAAAAGATTTTAGTTGATGCCGATAAGTAAAAAATGATAATAGTTGTTGCGATCACCTAATTAAGTTGATATAAACTACTAAACAAAAAAAGAAAAATAATAACTAAAAGACTTACCGTAATACCTGCATTAATCAAAATTTTGTAAGTATCTGACGCAAACGGCTTCTCAATACTTTGAATAAACATGTACTATTTGAAATAGAGTTTGCAAGGCCGACAACACTGGAAAAAAAGGGGGAGGAGGCAGGAGGGCTCTTTTCCCCCTCCACACTTTTTTCTAAAGGACTTTTTTTTTTTAAATCCTAGATATAGGACTTTTTTCAGAAATTAAAAATTGTGCCCCTCCACTTCGATACCCATGTTGTCGGCAGTGATATGTTATTTGAATTTTCATCCAAAATGGGCAAAACTTTTAAAGAAATGGCAAATGCGGATGTTAAACCAAACATATTTGTTATTTTAGACTGTACCTTATTTCTTGCTAATCTTTTTATATAATATTTGCTGTTGTTGGAAGGAATTGCAAAGAATTATGGGCAAATTTTGAGAAATGAATTTTAAAAATAAGTTGCCAAGAAAATCCCTAAAATTGAAGGAAAAACCCCAACTCTCAAGAAGTTTTTTCCATGAGACATTTTCACAGTTAAGGTGAGTTTCCACTAATCTGTTTAGTTAAAAACTACATGAGCATGCATAGTTTTACTTTGGACAATTTGAAACTTATAATACACATGCACATGGGATTATTTTTCCTTTGCCGATCCCGTAAAAAAACAGATGAGTGGAAACTCACCTTTATGTAATCGCGTAGTTATACCAATAAGCGCAACTTTATTTCAAGTTAAACACAATTAATAATTTAGAATTTCTTTCTATTAGCATTTAATAACAATTAATTTTCTATAATTATTATTAAATTTCAATTTGTGATTTAGCAAACTTTATTAGCAGAATGGAGTTTTTAAAATTGGGAATTTTAATTTAATGAGTATTTGGGAATACCGCATTTGACAGGACTCCACAGGACTAGTTGACGCCCTGTGTATATATATAAATATATATATATATATATATATATATATATATATATATATATATATATATATATATATATATATATATATATATATATATATATATATATACAAATAGTATTGCGTACTAAGGTAAGCAATCTGTTGTCATACTGAAATAGCCTACTGCTGGGGGCTTCAGTACATACATCGACTGACAAATAGCCTAACTCGCAGTGGAGTGCTGCTACATCAACTGAGGGTTTGGGATGGGGCAGCAATCGTTTCATTCATCATTCTTCGTTTTTTTTTCTTCTTTTCCTAAAAAAGCCGTATGGGTTAAGGTATGCAAAAAAAATGAGCAAATGCTTATAAAAATATGCTTTAGTAAGTGTGTGTGTGCGTGTGTGTATATATATTATATTCAAAAAAAAATATTTATAATCATACTTGGATAACAAATAGTCTATAATCTCTACACGGTTAAACATGGCTGCACGATGCAAAGGTGTTTCCTTCAGCAAATTTTTGGATTCAACAATAGCACCATTATCAACAAGAAGTTTTACTAATTCAATAAATCCTGAAGTACAAGCTACATGAAGAGGAGAAATCATGTTTATATTTGTTGAATTGACTTTACAATTATTTTTGATAAACAAATCAACAATTTCAATGTGATTCTTTTCAACAGCTAAATGAAATGCTGTTTGCTCATCTTGATCACATGAATAAAGTAATTTAGCTAACATTGGAACACCACCTTGTTTTGTTGCATGGTCTAGAAATAGTTTCACAATATCTAAAAAAAAAAAGAGTTATATTTTTTAACATTACTTATATTATTTTCTATTTAAAATTAAAGTAATCCAAAAATAGAAACATCCTTTTCTTGAACTTTTAATGTTCTTAGAAACAAAAAAACCAACACTTTTTCTCTGTAAGTGTACTAAAGATATAGACTAAACTAAATATTTTTTTACAATAACATCGACAAAATATTTATATAATTTGTTTTCGAAAATATTAATATTTACAAGTAATGATTGAAATCTATAGAACTAATAGTGCATTATTCTCAATTTTAAAACCTTTATTTTAATTGTCTTAATCAATATCTTGATAATGATTATCAGTAAACAACAGCAAGTTTTGTTTAGTTAAAATTCTCATAACACTGTATACCCCAATCTGTAATAAAGAGATCACATTAGAGATCAAGTGATTTTACAAACCAATCAAAAAGTGACGATTTTTTAAATCAAGACTAGAGTATATTATCCGTACATTAAACTGTATCATTATGCATCATGAACCTGCATATTATCCGTACATTAAACTGTATCATTATGCATCATGAAACTGCATATCATGTATTTTGTAGTATCAAACTGTAAATCTTGTACTATCCCAGCAAACATTCTATAGCTGGATTTAGTAAACCTATATTAGCATTTTGAGCCGTCCAACGCAGTTTTGCTTATCGATTACTATTAGTGGCAGCCACTTAAAGTAGCTAACTAATGACAAGCCGCTATATCACATGTTGGAAGTTAATGGCTGGCCACTTAAAGTGGATGCCAAAATGGTTCATTAAGTAACCGATTTCCATTGAACCACTCAAAATGCCTATATAGGTCCACTGCAAATTTACTACAAAAATGTATGCTGGGATGTGTCATAAAACTGTATACCATGTATTATGTATCATCAAACTGTATATCATGTATTATCATCAAAACTGTATATGTTGTATTATCAAAGTTTATTAGCAAATAGTGTTATTATTGAATTAAAATTGATAGGAAGATTGATATTATAGATAACACTGTGAACCACAGTGACCGCCAGGTATGAAGTCTTCCCACAGCCAATTTTTTTTTGTTATTAAGGAATAACGCAGTAGTTAAATTAAGTAAGGGTATTGAGAACCTCCATAGAAATAGTTAAAATAAAAATTTTACAAATTTTGACTTTAGATTAAAAAGGGAGGGGCGGTACATGGGTAATATTATTGAAGTTTATATATTTCACCATTTTAGGAAGAAAAAAAATTTATCACATGCCTTAACCTAGTTTTGCTCTGTACTTATGCATACTTATATTATAAATGCATTAAAAAGTGTTAGAACATATATTTTCCAACAGATAACAAAGCAAAAAAGTTTAGGTATAAAAGCAATAACAACAAAATATAAGAAATGCATTTGATATGAACAAATATCTAAACTATGCTTTAGAAGACATAAACAGTATTATATTTTATCGATACTTAATCTACATGCTATTAAAATACTTAAAAAGTAACACTTTTTGACAATATTGTGGGTTAACAATATATTCACTTAAATTATAAACATGTAAACTACTTATTAAATGATAAAAATTCGACAACACTTGACTTCAATCGCTTAGCACAGTCAAAGTGGTTTTGTCGTCTCTTATATTTTTTTGCACTCATGAATAACAGATTCACCTGCTTGTTCTGAGTAATTCCTAGTCTGAATAGTAAATTATAGTCCATTATCAGTATTGCTACTTTTTAGAAATGGTACAATATGGTTAACTGCAATATTAACTTTCCATGTTATATTTAAAGAAATATTTTCAAAGTAATGATTAATATATTCTATTAAATTAGCATTAGCTGTCTTAGATTCCATATCAGGAGATTCCATATCACCATCATTCCATTACACTAATAACTTTTTCTCCAAAGGCTTGCTTTACTGCTTCAAACTTTCTTAAACATTCAAAATAACTGGAAATAAATCAAGTTTTCCTTGACCAGCAATATCACGAGCAACAACATCTAACTTATCTAAAAGTCAGTTGGCATTATTTCCATTAAACCCAATGTCATGGTAATCTCTAAAAAATATTTAATTTGGGTTTAACCATGGTTCAAACCCAGGCCATAGTTTTGATAAAAGTTTTCCAAAAGTTAAAACTACTCTAATTAATGTATGCAACTCAGGTACTGGAACTAAATTTTCTATAATTGTGTTTGGATCCTCTTCAAGATGTAAAACTCTTGGATTAATTACATTTTTATAACCAGACATCTTTGATTTTTGTTTTCCAGCTTCTATGTATTTACTGTATTGACAATCAAGAGAACCAAGAGTTCGCTTTACTCCAGCATTCAAAAGACTCTCCTTTACACCACAAACAACTTCATTTTCCAGGCTTGTAATGCCAAACATTGAGTTTGCACACTTTAAATCGAATGCAACAGAATACTTAATATTTTAAAGATTAAGAGGATCAACTAACTTCCTAAGACTTCCATTGTGTTTAGATATTCTTTCTACAGTAGCAGCAACAAAACAACTCTTCACTCCAACATCATCAAGATCAGGTTGGTTGCTAGTTTTATCATGCAGATTAAAAACATTCATTGTGACTTATAAAAAACCTTGACCAGAATCCACAGCAACCCTTATAATTGTAGAAAGAGGGTCAATATTTATTTCAGTGATTAAAACATATATAAATTCATCAATATCCTTTATATAAACCATTGACTATATCAACAACTTCAAAAAGTTTTTCTTCATTACATAAAAAATATTTATTCATTTCAGCTTTTAAAGTTTCAAATTTTTCAAATATATTTCCTTTAATACTACTTTTTTTTTTTTTTTTTTGTTATTTACCTCCTCAAGGCCGAGAAGGCCACTGCAGACGAGGAGGCTACTTAATAGTGGTTATAACCCTCTCTCAACTCTATAACTCCGAAACACGAACCTTGATGAAAAGGCCGCTGCGCTGAGAAACAAGTTGAGCGCGGTACTACCAGGGACGTGGTGGTACCGCATTGCATATAACGCATACTACTTCAAAATCCAAGATTCTTTCTAAATATAGAATAGATTTTTTTGGTTTTACACTGGGATAGGTCTAAACATTTTACAAGCTCCTTAATTGTTCCAAAAGTCACTTGATTTAGATTTGCACTACCACTTTTTTTGTCTTTAGTCCCAGCTACATTAGTCAATGTTACTATCAAAACATCAGAAAACACAGTTTCTCTAAATATTAATAACTATTTATTGCAGAGATTTTTGCTGGACTATAGAATCATAATCTTTTTTTCTTAAATAAACTTCTGATGTTAGTTAATCCATGTATTTATCTGCATTCTCAACTCACCTACATACACTTGCATCAGATTATGTAGGTTACAGGCTGGCTGTTATTAGGTAGTTCCAATTTAACTTATGACTTTAAAAAAAGATCTAAAATTTGGGTTTGAAATAACTACCTGTATCCTGCTTTTCAGAATACCTTTTTAAGTTTTGCTATAAGACCTGGTACCTAATGAGTTTACAGAAAAACTATTGCTCTTGGATGGAGTTTTGTTTACATTCATTTTTTTTTAAATTGATGCGCCTTATTTATTCCTTATTTGTTTTTTATCATATTCTTTTTTAAAAACACATCAACCAAGTAACTTATTTTGTATTGAAAATGAGATTTGCTACAGATTAAATAAGACCTGCGGATTAAAAAAATCCTTTAAATATAGCAATAAAAATTTGTGGATTGTGATTTGAGTGCAATTTAATCTAAATGTTAGTGATTGCTTATATTGACTATAAAGTACATCTGTTTGATGTACTTATTATTTTTATTTTCTTGTTTAGTTATTTATAATTTATGTTACGCCGTGTTTTTAACTATGGCTGCATATTGTATAAAAGAATGTTGTTGGTTTAAAATGTTTTAAATCTGTTTTGCTAAATTTTGGTAAATCTTGCATGACTGGCAATGCTATTTTAATCACATTATTTTTATGGAATTTTAGAAAAAATTTGGCAAGAACAACCAGAAAAGAAAGTGCTGGCTGAGTTCTCTATTATGTAAACCTCATTGTTCCAATAAAAATAACATTAAAATAAGCAAATTTCTATAGGTTATTTTGTTTGACTTTATTATTCTGATATTCTGTTTAAAAAGTATTTTTTAACAGAATATCAGAATAATAAAATTTTTTTTTTTTTACAGAATTTCTTTTGATGGGTATAGATTTACAACATCAGAAAACATATGAACCTTATTGTTGTCAATATGCCAAGTTTCTGTTAATTTTTGATCAAGTCAAGGGAATTGTTTTTTGTGTAAGACAGGTCATATTATCTCAACTATTTAGACATTTTGAGTGGTCCACTGTAGTTTTTCTCATTGATTACCTAGTGGATCATTAGTGGCAGCTGTCAATAGTGGCTAACCGGTGACAAGCCATTATAACATTTGTTGGAAGTTATTGGCTGGCCATTTATAGTGGATGTAAAAATGGTCTATTAATTAACCGATTAGCAAAAACTCCAATAAAACTTGTTTAAATGTTCAAGTCTGAAAAAACATGTTCCTTTGTCAAACAGATTTATAGCAAAGTTTTTATCACTTTTAATTTCTCTAAAAGCTTTCCTTTGTTCTTTTCATCTAAAAATATAAATTAAACATAAAACATAAACTTATAAATTATTTTTTTAATTTTACTTTTAAACATTTTTTTATTATTTTCAATATTGCTTTTTTTTTTTTCCTTTTCCCATATCCAACTCTGCACTTAGTTTTCTTTTAAGTTTCTGTCCCATTTTTTGTTGTCCATCTATGAACACAACCATTGACATTTTCATAACAAATACTTTTATTAATTTATTGGTAGTTTTTAGCTAGATTTATGAAATCCTTAAGCTACAGTTTTATGCTTTGTCTAATGTAATAGAAAAAGACATTTAAATCAAAAACATCTTTTTTGAAAAGTTTGAATAAAACCGATTGGAATAAGGAAGT